TATCTTTATCTTTATCTTTATCTTTATCTTTATCTTTATCTTTATCTATATCTTTATCTTTATCTTTATCTTTATCTTTATCTTTATCTTTACAGTCCTTTTTCATTCTAACCGATTCGATGGATCTCGTTTCTTAGTACCCGTCTGCTGTGAGTTATACTTATTGTATTATTTATTCTCGTAAACAATTGTCGTACTGTACTTGTACGGAATGCACTAATACTACGTAATTATTATCTCCCGGCGCCTTTCTACTTCCTCTCCCTTTAGTTTGTTTACCGCAAGCAATGATTAAAACTTTCTTCAATTAGGTACTGTATTATTAGTTAGGTATTTACGATATTTATTAAATCTTATAATGTTTTATTACCGTGATATGTAATAGAGCCCGAAACTATGGTTTGTATAAAAAACAGATCTAGAAAAGTAGTTTCATTTCCTATGTATAACAATTGCGAAAACCTAAGAATTCGATAATAACTCCACTGGTTGTTATTATTGTTATTACAAAGGTTGAACGACACAAAGAAAAATCTCTCTATCTGACTGGACTGAAATTTTTCTTTGTGTTGATAATAATATTTATTATTTACCTAGCATTTTTGTCAAATCACCAAGGTCTCCTTTCATATACCAAAATCAACTTAGTTTGATTCTCCTTGGATACAACTTGCTTCTAAGGTCCAAATATTCTTTATTTCTGCTATCTTGCTATTTTTACATCTTTGATTAGTTCAATGAACCTCTTCCGGTTTCCTCGCAATGTTTTCCACTAAATGGCTAAATGTAAATAGACGTATTTACAAATAAATACATTAACGCATAATTATCTAGACATAATTATCACTGTGTTTTTCCACTGCTCATCAAACACGAGTTATTTATATATTATTTACCGGTAATAAACCAATACAATAAGAAAACTTAATGAGGAGATTACGCGTCTCTCGACATAACACGTTTTGATAAAGAGTTTATTTTACTGAGGATTAGAAATGGCGCCACTTTGTAGTCGCTATGTTGCTAATATTGAAATAAAAAAAAGGTTATTTTTAACAACCTCGCAAGACTATATTACTAACGTCATAGACAAGAACCTTTGTTCCATGAGTTTTAATAATTCACCAGACTTTACAAGGAGCTCTACTGCTACAGATAGCAGTGAAAGAGTTTGTCCAGGGAAGTACTACCTGTTTCCGCCACCAAGCAGTAATGAGAGCATTGCTGTGTTCCGGTTTTGAAGGATAAGGGTGCTGGTGAAATTACAGGCACATGTGACTTGTCAACTTATGTCTCAAGGTGACGGGCACAGTGGCAATGCCCTTTAGATCTTTGATAATTAAAGCTCGGAGTGGCAATGCAACTGTTATTGACAGGCGTGTCGCTTATCACCAGACGCATGACTTATTCACCCCGTCACATGGTAGAAAAAAAACTTTCGTAAATTGAACTATAAAAATATTTAATAGATCGCTGTATCCAGTGATAACTTTGTGCGATACGATGCAAACGCAGGAACGGGTGTGGGGTCGTCGGAGAGGACATTTGCCCATTAAAATTTACAACCTGTACAATGCAGATCTAAAAAGTGTCAGATAGTACTACAAAAACTTAATATTTGATATGTTGACAAAAGTTGTTGTTCATGATGATGATAATACAGTCCTGCGAGGTTGTTCGTATTTTATAGCCCTGTATAAGTAAACACGAAACGCGGCGTAGGACACGTGCTGAAGGTTCGTTAATCTAATAACCTACGAGTGCTTATCTAGTAGATCTAGAGACAGAAAAACAAAGAACTGCTAGAAAATTTTACCTTTTCGGACTGTCGGTTCCACTCCTGGTTCCGCTAGTGGGTCTAGTAGGATTTTGATAGTACTCATGTCCCCACTACATAACATGGGTGGAACTATTATCACAAAGGAAAAAGATTTCTACTCCAAAAATAAATTTACTCTCTGTTACTTATGCTGCACCTGCCGATCCTACGTGAGGGTAGGACGTCGTTATCTCTACGTACGCGACCATGACCATCGAGCACTATAATGTCGCGCATTAGTCGGTATGCAAAAAAGTGTTTTTCTCTACTCTCTACGCTAACATTAACCACAGAACCACTCAGCAATGCAAAAAAAAAAAACGGTTTTAAGTTATTTTGAACTTTACTTCATGTGTATTGTATCAACTCATGCGATGTTACTGAATACAGTTTACTTTTTTCGACTGTATAAAAATCTCTCGCTAGAGTATTACTTTTGTATAGTATAACATTCATCAGACGATCTACCTGGTGGAAACTGGTTTTCGCCGCTTACTGCCATTTCTTATGTTAGGCAGTATCTTTATTATCTCATGTGCATATCTGATCGTAAGACAAAATATAACAATATTTTTTGCATATAACAGTCCTATTCCCTACTCTAACTAACTACGTAACATAACTTCCTAGGAGAGCTTTGAACAGAAAACCTTAGTTCCAAGAATGCAGTAGTATAAGGGCTGTCACTTAGTAGTTTTGGGGGAACTTGTAAAAAAGTAAGTGTCAATTTTGAAGATACTGACACTCTAAATATCTGAAGCTTATTCATTTGTTCATATTTCAACGACCGCATAATCTACAATGTCTTTGGTATAAACATTTACAACTTTCTACAATAACAACAATAAAGAGACGTACCGGTATAAATAGGTAAAGATAGCATAATAAAATGTCTTGCAAATACATACCTCAGATTAACAAATTCAATACGGATGGTTTGCGTCTTTATTAGATGCAATGTTAGCACAGCACGATTTCCTGATTACACATGGCAATATATTATTAATCAGAACTTGCTGCTAGAGGACGTGTCAAATAGGTTATTTCGGGTAGGGGCGACCGGGTCTGGTAGTTATCGAGGAGTTGTTCTCACAGCAATAACTTTGCAAGAAAAATATATAGCAATTCATGTGAAGCAACAAGAAGAAGCGACAAGATGATAGAGTCACTTATGTGTATCTCAACGTCTCAACTGTGATTCAGATGAAAAAATGAGCTATGAATAATATTACTGATGAATAAGAATGTAGTTTCTTTTTTAAGTTAGTTGTGCATAATATAAACATTACATACATAGAATTATAAAAAAGGTGGTTTTATTTAAGAAAATCCTTGTTATCCTGTCATAATTTTGGCGGAACAATTTAGCTCAAAGGCGGAACAACGCGCCCCAAAGCAGGGCTGAATGTTCCGCTCTGAAATTTGTCAAAAATTTACCTCTATGAAAAAGACTATTGAGATATTAGTAGAAGTGACTATACTATTATAAAAAGCGATAAACATTTGTTCAATATTTCCAAATGTTGAAAATCAAATCCTTCATTTTCGAAAAAAACTTGAACTTATTTGAAAATCGGAATGTTCAGCCCCGCTCTCCCTTACTACAATACTAATTAATTTTGATATTTTTAAGCTCATCATAAAAAACTAAATCAATTACTTTGTCGAATTACAGGGACGATTAAAGGCTTCTTCGAATATACTTACACGATATTTGCTACCGTTGTAGGTAGCGAAATCCGAGTGGGTATGCGGTATTCTTACTATTCAAACCTAAGCGGATATCTTTATCGCTATGGGTAGCGAAACTTTTTTTTTCGCCCGTCGAGACAATCACTTCTATGCTGTCAGTGAATAAGAGCACATTTAAATCACAAATAAGTCCTAATCGTGTCAAGTAACTGATTTACCGCGCCGTCCGACGAAACCAATTTCGTAAAGTAAGCGAAAAGATATCGCCGACCAGCAGGGCTAAAAAGGCCGTATTGGCAGAATCATAATATGATTAATTGGCAATTCATATTATTTCGCCTTAGCTGCGGAACTTCATAAAAATAACCGAAGGGACACCGTGCAGTATGTGTCGCTACTCATAGCCTTAGCGAATATCGCTTATATCTTGAATAGACCTTAAATTAGCTTCGTGGTTTCAAAAGCAAGAGAAAAAAAATTATACCGTACTCCATACTCTATTATCATATTGTTTTGGGTATAGTTTCATAAAAGAAATTTCTTATCCAGGTGGTAGGCTACGGTGTGATGATAGCCTCGTTCAGTTTGCAAGCACCTATACGCTGGGTGGTGGCGCGGCTTCACGGCACTCCGCGACTGCTGTTAGCCGATGTGTACCACTTCGTCTCCTTCATCGCAACTGTCAACGTCTGGAGGGGGGTCTGGGGGATGCTAGACACTTATTTGTTCCCTGGTAAGTGTGATAGACTATTCGCTTCACTTTGAAGACGGTACAAAACAATGACGATGAAATTGTAAATAAAATCCTTACCTGTCTCGTTATGCTAAGTGTGTTGAACTCAAAATAATAATTAATAGATTCAGGCGTTACTTTGAGGAAGTCTGAATTAATAAAACCAGAGGGTGGTAAAATCAGCTGCATGCAAAAATACTCAACACAAACGCAGCTATTTTGCACGATTTAACCTTCACTGGGTTCGCGGAGTAGCAAATAAGTTTACGTCCATTTTGTTTTTACTCAAAATAATGCCAGATGACGATCATTAATTTTCCATTAACTACGCTTATTCACCTCTAGCAAAGCTATATTTTCTGTATTTCGTGTTTCTCAGATACACCGAAACTCAGCAATTGGTGTTCACACACTATCAGTCTCGCTCTACTAATTCTTTTGAACTGTTCCAACTCGGTACTTGTTCGAGGAGTTTACATCGACGCGGAGGAGCCAGCCGGAGAGTGTGTCATCTTTCCTTGTCATTATTTACGCCTCTTCTTCCATAAAGAGAGAACTAAGAAGAGACACAGACTGGCTCTGGCTGCCGCTGCAGCAGCATCGGCGAGAAAATCAGAAGAACTAACCGGTTTACCATTGTAGCTATAGAATTTAGACTATTTGTGTTGTGATTATAGTCAAAGAATAACATATTATTATCTAGCAAAAATGTTTACTATATTACGAAATAAACTATATTATAATACTGTACTATGGGTCTATTCCCGTTCTACTCCCGTCCGACATAGGTCCGAAACAATTACTGTCAAGTAAGTAATGCTCGACCAAATTAAAGAACGTATGATGAGAATGAAGCTTCATAATGGATGGTTTTACTGCCGTCCTCCGGAAAAAGACAGCATTCCAGATGCGCAGAGTGCGGGACAGTCCCAACAGCATCCCACAAACTGTGGCTGGTAGGATTACCTCTCCCATGTGGCAACGCTTCATGAGAAAGGTGAGTTGAAAATTAATGTAAAAAAAATGTTTCTACTAACACTAATTTATAAGCACTTTTCTTGTTATTATTACTAACAAATTACGGAACTGTCTGAAAGAATTTTAATTTTTAATTTTTTAATTTTTAATAATGGAAATTGTTTTTTGATTTGGTCGAGAATTATTTATTTGACAGTATAATTGTTTCGGACGGAACATTGAACGAGAACGAGATTAGATCTACAGAAACGAAAACTCGTTCCCCGCTAGCGTAATGAATTTATAATTCTTTCGCATTGAAATTTTTAGATAATTGGTTTTAAAAAGGCATGTTAAATGTAAAACACATGATAATTATAAAAAAATTCCATAGAACGCCGCCATGTTTTAGAGGTGCGCGGGCAATATGTTCAAGTTTTGTTCGTTACTGTGTTAGGTAATGTCGGATAGAAAGCACTATAATGTGGCTTTTAACATGTGTTGTAAGATTTGATAAACGCTCCATTGTCTTGTGAGATTGCTAGTTAAAAAGGTAATCTCAGTTTATTGTTATTGGTTAAAACACATTACGACAAAGACGAACTTGTTGTCCTACGATACGTTTTCGTGACACACGTTCTTTAAAACTACTATACATTGTACAAATCTGTAATGTTGTGTAGCTAGCTTTTGTACGACGAAATATTGATTTGGGAATTGCTCCTCCTGCTACACAAATTTGCCCAGCTTGTTGTAACTTTCGAAATATTGACACCAAAACTTTTTTGTTTTGTTTTTATTTTTGTGAAACAACTCCACTAGTTTGCTATAATTATTAAATACAAAGGTTGGTCACAAAGAAAAATTCCATCGACTCGACAGGACTCGAACCTGCGACTACGGGATTCCGTCCCTATCACTCTTCCAGCTGACGTCCAGTTAAACGAGTCGACAAATTTCTTCTGTGTCTGTGATAAATCGTTGCATAGAGTGTTCTGTTATAATGTTTCAAATGTTTCTCCCTATTGGGAGGGCACAAATGTCGCCAAAAAAATTCATGACGCCAAGTTTACAGCACGATAATAATATCGTATTGTGAATCATTGACTTACAATTATATGGACGTCGGGTCCGCGCTAAAAAGTGTCCGAACTTATAGGGCGTTAAAATCGTATATTGAGCGTCATTCACGCTTTAGTCTTCGTTTGTTCGACTGACAGCGAAGCAAGCAAAATTAGACAGTACTGCGATGACATTATAATTTAAATTCAACGTTTAAGCTTTTCCATATTCCTTTACATGTCACTACGTTTAAATAGGTTGACTTGGGACATTTTTTTCGTGGTTTTTGTATTAGACCCGTCGTCCATTTATTTGTAAGTCAATGTTGTGAATGTATGAATGTTAAGTATATCACTTTCACAAGACTTGCTTGTGACTAAAATATAGAGCTTTGTTATTGTTATGCACATTGTGCTGTCGTCTATTAACTAAAACGGCTAATAGACAAACGGTCAAATATCCGTTTTAAATAGCAAAAGATAGAGCACAAAATTCTCTTTTAAAGACAGTTAAAATTAGTTAACGTATTCGACTATTCGGACCTTACCCTAACGACACATAGCTGAAATATCCTTAAACAATTTCTATATCCTAAAACTGGGTTATGGTTTTAAATCATATCTCAAAAACATATTTTGTCACTTAGCCACGTTTTAGTCAGCAGACGGCAGTGTGAGAGTCTGGTCCATCGAGTATATAACCAGAAATAGAGAAATGTCATGTAATTTGTTTGAAAACTATTCTGCCATATCATTACTGTGACAACTGCGCTCTGATTGGCTAGCCCGAGTTCGAAACAATTGACGGGTGTCGTCAACTGTTTCACTTCAAACTGACCAGTTAACTTGAGCTTTGCTATAATGGACGAAAATATATTTAACGTTTAATTACCGATGAAATGTGATTCCGTTGATTTTGTAATTAGATGTTTTGCTGTTTTCCCCACACCACCGTATAGAACAGCACGGCATTGTTGGAGATATTATCTCTATTACAGTAAATACAGAATATTTTTTTGGAATATACGGAGAGGTACACACAGGTCAGTAGTTGGCCTGTCTATATTTCAGTGCAAATGGGAGTTGATATTTATAAGAGTTGTATCGCTAATGTGTTACCAGGAATATATGGCCCTTGTTTCGTCTCTATTTCTGGTTATATTCTCGATAGTCTGGTCTCAGTAGGTACTGTAGCGCAGGCTGGATAGATTATATTATTTTATATTTAGATTTTATTATGAGAGATTTTATTTAGAACTGTATAAAAAATAGAAGGTTATTGTCAAATGAACAACGCGGTTGTTCTGGACGAATCTTTTAGTTGAACGCTCACAGTAAATCTTTAATTATGATTACATTCCTCGTTTAAATATTAAATAGTACGTCTAACACCGCTATAACAAAGGCTATGCTCCCACAGTACTAAGGTATTCCTGTAAGACTAACCACCAGGCTCCCTCCCTCTAAGCCGGGTTTTCTCAACCTGTGATGGACCCCTAAGGGGTCCGTGTAATGACCGCCAATGGGGTCCATGGCGAGTCTATATAACGTTACAAATGCACCATATAAAAATTGGTATACAATATGTTGTGGTTAAATAGGCATAGTGCGCGTGACCTTTTTAAATTTTCGGACCCGAGGTACGAGCGACCGAGACTCGCGTCAATACAATCCGCGAGCCTTTCTTCTTCTTCATCTTTTCGAAAAGGTTTCGTGGGCTGTTTGAAAATTTGAGACGGTCCATGACTAGAAAAAGGTTAAGAAACCCTGCTCTAAGCTAAGGTTAATTATTTATCTTATTAATTTCAGCTCAAATCGTGATGACGCAGTCGCGAGTAGTGTTGTGATCCCAAGTAAGGGTTGAAGTAATGAATTAAGTCAATACCATCATGCCAATCTTCCACGGCAGGGACCATGAATCTCACTCTTCTTCAAACTTCCGCCTAGAGTCCGTCTTCACGATTTTCTTTTTGAGAAAACAATATTTTATAAACCTTTTTAGGTATTTTCCACTAGTCATTTAAAATTTTTTCTTCATGCCAAATTTTTTAAATATTTTTTTGTGTTATTTTGTATACAAAAAGTATATATCTACTTCTAATTGTAAATCCTATGTACGAGTGATTTGACGTAGCATTATTATTGGTAGGTGACGAAACGGCCCCGGTTTGAATTCCCGGCAGGACCAATTATTAAATATTCCTTCCTTTGAAATATACCTTAATTATTAAATATTCTCGTTGATTCTTGGCACTTTTGACCTGAACTTTTTAAGGACATGTTCGGCCTGCTTGAGATATGTACGCCAACACCTTGCTATGTTTCCGTCAACGTACGCGCTTTCAATTTGTGCCGTTATTACTAACTATGTATAGTATAAGACAGAGTTAACTTACAAAATATCCTTTTTTGCATGTTGTGGTTGTGGTTTGGTTGTTGTGACATAAGACTAAGGAAGTCTTTTAGAAAAAGCTTTATATTCATGCAATAAGAGCGAAAGAGTCATTCCGTGTCACTAAAGCGTGAAACACACACAGAGCGGGTGCGAGTCGGGCGCGTGTCGGGTCGGGACCGCGGCGGGTCTAATTCCGTGTAGTTATATAGACGACAACACACCGAGCGCGGCCACCGGTCCCGACCCGACCAGCACCCGCTCTCTGTGTGTTTGACTGACTCCCTAAGAGAGATGCCATACGGGCGCTACCGGTGCGTTGCGACTCGCTTACTTAGAGCAATGGCACATGATACATTTGCGGCGGCGTTGTGACGCCTGAGGGGAGACGTTACGTTGTATTACATATAAATCATAACGACACACAGTGTGTTGAAACAGCGCGGCGACGAAACGCGTGCATATTGGACAAGAGGCCAGGACACGAAGGGGAGAGGTGTTGCGGTTCGTCAGTTACATTGCGACATCGCACTGCTCGTGTAGCGCTCGGTATGGTTTCAACGCACTGTGTGGCATGTCGTTTTGGTCAACGCAGCGTCACCGTTCAGGCGTCGCAACACCGACGCAAGGCATTGCGTGCCATCGCTCCGCAATAAGCTACAACGTCTATGCGATGACGTATAAGTACAGTCAGTGACAAAATGTGCTCAGTGTTCAAACCTGTGAAAATATATGAATTTCATTAAAATCAGTCTTATTTCATTTTTGATTGATGCTTTTTAAGTTATATGAATTAACAGGGTTAGCATTAATAACAAAATTCGCTAGAAAAGTTTTATCTGGAAAAGTTTTTGTCTTGTCTAATTGGAAAGATATTGACTGCTTGAATAACATTTTTTGTGCTCACCTAACCTGTAGGTGTTTTTATCAAATGTTAACGTATTTTTGGTCGGTTTCAATGTTTAAATTACTTGAAGACTTTTCGTATGTTGGATGTGGCCAAATTATGTCTTATCTTACAAATGTAACCAGCAGCTTGTTATGTTTTTGCAACAGATCTTGTTAGTTAAATCTGTCTTCGTCTGTACGTAGACGATAAGTGTAAATAAATTATATTGTAAATTAAATAAGAAATTAGGTGTAAGTTAATTATAATAGTTGCAAGAAACGATCACTGTAAATAATATATTATTACGAGTTATTTCCGTTGTTTTATTACAAATTTCGAACCACAAAAAAAAATTTAATAAGCGATGGCATCCCGGTGGAAAAACGGTTGCCTTTGAATTGAAATGTCGATATGTCAAATCTTTGTATCGTCATGTACTTATGATTTAGTTTTTAGCTTTCCATCCTCTAAGGTTTTTAGGTTAAATACATTTATGAATGTTTAGTAACAATACCCACTCAGAAGAAAAAGAATCGTGATTTTTTAACTCTATTTACTGCCATTATTCTTGATCATTGTTGAACATGTCAGCTTGATGCGTTCACGCATGTTACAAGTGTACCTATCTATAAATACCAGATGTATTAGAGTGAATAATATATCGCCTATGTAAAGTGACCAGTATAAACCGGTGCTACGTAATCATGGCTTCAGCAGTGTTGAAGAATTAAGTGTGTTCGACCGTACTAATGCTCGGAGTTTCTTTAAAGGATTAGATTCGAAATGAGGTTAACTGACAGAGAACCAAGACCAAAGATAGATGTTGGAATAAACAAACTGAAAGTGCTGTCCATATCTGTCGAAGAATCTGTGACGGAGGTTTTGCGTAATGAAGGAAGAAGGCTAGGTCCACATAAAACTTATTAAAGGAATGGGTAAAATGGGAACACGAAAGCCCTAAAGGGCCTGTATTCGTGTATATATCCAATACTTTATAAGCAGTTAAAATATGTGAGATTTACATGATTGAGAATAGAGGTGTACTTCTTTTATATTTCTCTTCGAGAATTTTGATGGGAGTGACGACGGAACGAGCCAAAGTAAGAATAACGAAGGAAAGGAATTAGAGAACGATTCAAAATTTCAAAAGTAAGCGGTCAGGAACCAGAAAGGAGGGTGATAAAAAGGTGGGATGACGATGAAGGAGGTCGCATTGTCACAAACTGGTACCCTAAGAGGGAAACAAGTTCTTGAGTGAAGACTATGACTCGGCAAACGTAGTGTAGCTCCTCTGACCAGATAGAGTGCTGGTAGCGCATGGATACGACAAACTGAGGATCGAGCGAAATTGCGCACATTGGCAGAGGCTTATGTCCAGTAGTGGACTGCGATAGGCTGATAATGATGACGATAATGACCATGCTACTCGTCAATGGGAAGTGTATTCTAAATCGCGATACATTAAAGGATGACGCCCTGAAAAGTGCACTTTTGTTAACGCATTTAGCAGACGATAGGTTTTTTTTTAAATAAATAATAGACACACCCTTGGCCACAATCTCACCTGATGTTAAGCGATGATATGACTGACGATGGTACGTGATGGTAGAGACATTCTTTAATATCTTTTCTCTCTAGCCTTGAATAGTCCCAAATTGTACTCTTCGGAAAACAAATAGAGTATTCCATTCCTTTGCCGTACTCATCAAAAAGGAGGAAGCAAACCACTTAGTGCGAATGGGTCAGTATCCCACGGTATCAGAGTATCAGTGGTATAAGGATGGAATGTCCCGAACCTTCTAGTCAACCGAAAGAGGAACAGTGAGTGTGGCACTAAATTGAAAAGCTCCGGTGCACACTCCCTGAACGAAGTAACTATGCAAAACTTCTTTAGATTTTTATTGAATCTGAAATAGTTTTCTGTAAACAAACTAGATTGAATCGTCTTTGTATTGGTAGCATTTTTAGTAGCAGTAGAGCTCCTTGTGAAAGATTTCGTCCAGTGTAGTACTGCCACATTACCTATTTCTGTCGCCAAGCAGTAATGTTAGCATTACTGTGTTCCGGTTTAAACGGTAAGGGTGCGGGTGAAATTACAGACACATGGGACTAGTCAACTTATGTCTTGGGGTGACGGGCGTAGTGGCAGTACCCCTCACATCTTTGTGATTTAAAGCTCTGAGTGGCACTGCAACTGTTATGGACAGATGTGTAGCATACCATCAGGTGCACGACTTGTTCACCCCGTCTTGATATTATAAAAAAACAATTAAATAGTCTTAAGTTCCGGTCAGTGACGAAAGTGACTTAGAAGACGAAAATTTGTTTAACAAATCTTGTGCCCTCGAAGCGCTGGCCAGATTTCCCGAAACACAGCGCTCAATAGCATCATCGTATGGGCCTTCACCAGGGTTAAGACACCGGCAGTTCTCGAGCCCTGGCCTTTGCATTGCACTGGCATTTGTCGCAGTGACGGTAAGACCTGACTGTATGGCTGTAGGTCCATGCAAGCTAGGGAGACAGATAGTGTGGGACGCAACCTGTGTGGACGCTGTAGCACCCTCCCATGTCCTTGCAAGATTGGTGGCACAAGCTTTATCGCCAGAGCTGCCAAGAACTGTAAAAGGCTCAAATACGCCAACCTTGCTCAGCTTTGTGCCTTTTGTGGTTGAAACCCAGGGTGTCTGGGGGCCACAGACAAAACTTCTAGCAAACGAGCTGTCAGATCGCCTCGTAGAAGCCTCCGGTGACCACAAGGCTGACAATTATTTCCGCTAAAGAATGAGTTTAGGTATTCAAAGGGGAAATATTGCCAGCCTTCTGGACACGATGCCCGTGTGGCGCTGGAGGAAAGTTTCTACATATAAACTTTCTTCTAGTATTTACATTTTTATAATAAGTTTTGTCTGGTATCATATTTTTCTTTAAGTGCCTTGAAAATACACATCACACCATTTAACAGATTTAAAGTTTTTAGATGCAAATATAATGCCGATTACGTTTAAAGAGATACAAACTGCCACGGCAAACGACAAAATTCTTAATACTGTAAGTAAATGTATGAGTCACGGGTGACCACGGAAAATTCATTGCTAATCGATTGCACCGTATTACCACAGTATTACAATGTGGTGTTACCATATATTACCGTTCCAAACTCGATTTAGAGATCTATGATGGCAGTCTCGGATTTTTTAAATTTTAATTTAAGTGTTATCTAAGAAATAAGTCGTCTGCCAGAGTCTTCTTTACCTTGACAGCTGCGTAATTATATAATAAGATTGGTAGTTTATTTATAGCAAACCTATCGCAGCGCATTGTTTTCGAGAATATCGTTCATTGTCCTTATCTATACTTTCCAGACCGCGTTTGTGCATTACTGTAATAATTGTAATTAATGTGATACTGATGTTCATTTTACATAACTTTGTCGTATTCCCCAGGTTAGTTTTCGCGTAATTGCACAAATCTTGTAGAAGCCAATTTTTTTATGTGACTAAATAATGGGACAAACAAACCTGGTGCAAGCAACACTGTGCCACTCAGATCTTTAAATCGCAAAGAACTGAGGGGCACTGCCACTGCGCGCGTTACCCTGAGAGTTTATTGCCAGTAGTTCCATGTACTCAGTTCCACGCGGAACAATTGTAACTCATAAGTTCCATGCATGGAACTAGTGGGAATAAATTTAATGTTTTATATTTATTCCCATACGTAGGACATAAGTCAAAAAGTCCCATGTGCCTGTAATTTCATCAGCACCCTCATCTTCAAAACCGGAAAGCAATAACGCTTACATTACTGCTTGGCAGCAGAAATAGATAAAGTGGCAGTACTTCCCCGGACGAACTCTTTCACAATAAGCTCTACTGCTACTAAAAATGAAATATATCAAAACGAAACTTCAATAATATTTATTTCATGGATAAGCAAATTACACTTGAAATCGTCACATTGATTAAACTCTACTTCTCATTCGCAAGACCTCTGAGACAAATGAGTAAGAAACTCTAGTATTTGCTCTTTATCAATAAACATTTGTATACATTTATCATTTACACTATTTATTTCACATATCTCAAATAAACAATAAGATCGAGACGGGTTGTCTCGACCGCAAGAGCTAATAGGGTCACTACCACGGATTTCTTTCATCCAAGTACGCAAAACCCGTATAAATAACCTTTAGCGTACAGTTTTTGTGTCCCTATAGTTTTAAACCTCCTGAATGGCAAATTTTTAATACCTATCAACTGAAATCTTATTTTAGAAGCGTATACATTGCCCTTTACATGATTTAAGGCACTGTGAAGACAACTGTCAAGAACAACCTCGACTTGAGTCGGCGGCTCAGCGGTGGCAACCGTTAATCGTGCGGAGCGCGACGGGAAGAGAGCGTGCCTACAGCTCCGGTACCTATCTGGAAAACAGAGAGGGTGCTGTACGTGCACCCGGGGCGGCTCACCTAACGGATGAAGTCCGTGCAAATGGACGTGCTGATCGGGGTTAGGACCTGACTTAGAAGGTCCCGATGGTGCTGGTGCGCTCGCACAGGTCACAGTGCCCTTCTCATATGGGTGGGTCACTATAATCAAAACTAATGTAGAAAGAACAACCAGTTTATTTTAATATCTCGTATTAACATAAATTAAATGACATAAAGGTATTATGGCGCTAATGTAAGAATCTTAACTTCCTTAAACATCTCCCTCAAAGACACTCCTGGGTCACCATTGTAAATTGCCCTAATCACACGGTTTTGCAAAACTCTTTAATATCAGCGGTATTGCTCCAAAGCAAAATGCTGTATACATGTCGTTAAACGGTAAGAGTTGCGACGGTGTGACCTCCTTACATCGTCATTCCACCTTTTTATCGCATTTCTCCGGTTCCTGGCCACTCGTATTTAAATTTAAATTTTGAATTGTCCATACTTCTTTTGCCTCGCATTCTAATTTTGTTTCGTTCCATTGTCACTCCTTGCCCGATTGCGGCAGCGAACACGTCTTCTCTTCTTATTTTTTCGAACCGTTTACCAGTTACTAAAAATCTCTTGTACGATAAACATTTTAAAGATCATAAATGTTGTTAAAACTGGAATAAATATTTATAAAACTGGATTTATTACCACTAGTTCTTTACCCTTTTGAACTTTGAACTTTAAACCTACGAAGCAATATGTACAAAGGCACGCTGAGTGCGGAGACTACTACTCTCCTGGCTACATTACAATTCTACATTACAATCCTACTGAACAGTCTACAAAACTCCACCAGCACCAGCAGCGCTCTCACAGAGTAACTAAAATTAACTACCTCCGTGGTTTAACGGTTACCATGCCGGACTGCCACGCAGAGGTCCCAGGTTCGATTCCCGGGCCGGGAGAAATATTTGTATGGCCTACATTTATTTCTCTCGTGAGTTTGGATCTAATGTGTGGTTGTCTATGTGTGTGCATGGCACCCGCGACACAGGGTTTTCCCTAGTACAGGGCTATGTTGAGTGTGTGCGTTATTATTATTATTAAAATAAACCAACCTAATAACATGATCATTGAATCATTGAAATTTGTGAGAGACGTTAATTGGACGTTGGAGACGTTCATAAGGATTGTGTAATACTAAATTCTCTTTCAAAGAGAGTAAGTATGCAAGCTTGCGTGCATGCGTTTGCGTGTGTGTATACTTTTCTGTCTCAGAGGAAGAATCTTTCCAAAGAGGTGACTAGAGAATTTTTCATGAAATTAAATTAAAAATTAACAAAACAAAGTTTAAAAAAAATATATTCCAAACAAAATACAAAAGAATACATCAAAATCTGATAATACAAGCACTGAAATTTACTATCCTTCATTGCGATCGATTAAGTTGTACAATCGCTAAACAACAAAAACGTTAATGCAATGATGTTAATTCTCTGGTGTGTTTATGTTGTGTCTAAGACCCATGAAGCAAAAATGATTCAAAATCGTATACTGAAGTCATGATAGTCGAGCCGAACGACGTACTCCCAGTTGGTGAGATCGCACTTCTCTATCTTGCAGCCTGGAGAGCCTGTAGTAGAAAGCCAGTCGATCCTAGACAAAAAAGCATTTCTTCATCATCAGACATACTCTATTAAATCAATACTAGTGCTTTTTTGTTATATGATTCAAATGACGGAATGAACAAGTCGTGCTTCTGGTGATAAGCGAAACCAATGTATAAGAGGCACTGTCACTGCGCCCATCACCCTGAGAAATAAAATTGACAAGTCGTGAGTTTATTCCCAGTAGTTCCAGTTCCCAAAAGTTTCGAGCCTCTAATTTCTTCAGCACCCCTTACTCTTAACAAACAGAACTCAATTATGCTCGCACAATGTTATTTAGCAGAAACAGGTACGGTGGCAGTATTTCCCTGTATTAACTCTTTCACAAAGAGCTCTAACATGTGGATTTTGTACCAGATTAGTGGTAATCTGGTACAAATGTACCTGTAGTTTCGCCAGTACCCTTACCCTTCCCTTTAAAACTGGAACGCAGTAATGTTTACATTATCACTTGGAGGCATTTCTTTTGTCTTGCCATTCATCAATTTCATCAATTACTAACAGAAAACCATCTAGTAAAATTAATTAAGGCAGTCGCAATTTCATACACTGACGTGAGTTTTCATTATTTAAGTTAATCGATAAAATCTTCTATTACAAAAAGATGTTATATAATAAGCTCATTTTATTGAAACGACAATAATTTTAATATTTGAAGTCGATTAAAAATTAAAGTCTTAATTTTTTTTAAAGTAATTAACATTTTTTTTTCTTTTTTATTATTTTCTAATTATTCTATTTAGAATCTATTTAGAGCGAGCTTAAGGAGGTTTCCATCACTAAATAGTTCTCGGTACCCACCAGCTTCGGAGCGAGTTAGGCAAAATGCGTCCTGAAGTTCCACCTTCCGTCCAGTACAAGGCCTTGACTGGGATCGTCTCCCCGAAAAGGGTGATCCTTGCCTCCTTAGGGCGGCCTCTGCGCGGGCCATGGAATAGGAGGGCCTCCGTTTTGGGTATAGAGACCCTCAGGCCCAACAGACGGATCCTTTCTACCACCAGAGATGTCACTACGGTGCTCAACCGCGCGGCCTCTTCATAAGTCCTGCCCCGAGCAGTGACGAGGGTGTCATCATCATCACCCTAGTCCAGGGAAGGAGCGGACCGCGTAGGAGCCAGTCAAAGCCAACATTCCACAACATGGGGCCCAGCACGGACCCCTGTGGAACGCCGCACCCGACGCGCCATTGGTGTAGCCTCCCGTCTCTTCCCTCCCATAGAACCACCCTGTCCTGGAGGTACGCCTCCAAAAGCCTTCTGAGATAGGGAGGTACTCTATGGTACCGGAGCGCCTCTCTCAGTGTCTCGAACGGAAAGCTGTGGAAGGCGTTCTTGACGCCAAGGGAAACAGCCATGACCACCTCCCCCCTATCCACGCCGTCTGTCGTAAGACTCTTCAGGGCATCCAGGATATCGACAGTAGACCGCCCCGCCCTGAAGCCGTACTGGGCTTCCGAGAGACCAGGCCCCACCTTCTCGAGGTGCCTAACGAGACGGTTAACGAGGACCCTCTCGAAGAGCTTGGCCGTCTCGTGCAACAGCACAATCAGCCTGTAGACAGAAGGCGAGTCGATTGGATGACCCTCCTTCTGCAACAGACACAGTCGGCCCTGCTGCCATTGTTCCGGGAACTGCCCGCTACGTAGGAACGTGTCGAACAGTCCCCGGAGCAACTCATTTAGGCATTCCGCTGCCAAATACAGCACCCAACTCGGGACGCCGTCCGGTCCCGGTGCGGTCTTTTTGCCCCGTAGTCGGAACAGGGCCGCTCCTATTTCTCCCTTAGTAACAGAGGGGACCTGCGAGGGACCCTCCCCCGGTGAGGAGGGTGGGGCCATCACCGGGGAGAGGTGTTAAGGAGGGTCTGGGAAAAGCTCCCCTACCACTTCGCAGGAGATCCGGGCCATGGTCTCCGTGATGGGAGCGCTTTGGGCACGGAGTTTCTTCCGTGCCACACGATACGGCCGACCCCATGGATCCCGATCTAACCCGGCCAGGATTTCTTCTTTGGCACGGGTTTTGGCGTCGGCACCGGACGTAGGCTCTCCGAGCAACAGGTTAAGTTAGGTTTTTTTCTTTTAAACTTTTTTTTTAAACTTTAGGTTTTTTTCTTTTAAACCTAACTTAACCTAACCAAACTGAACCCAATCGTGTCTTTGCGATAAATATTCAAAATTTTTCGGTCGAAATCGGTTTTCGATGTAATGAAAATTCGAACAAACATTATTTCGGATAAAAAAAATTTCGACTTTGTGATAGGTTACCCAAAAAATAACGCAAGTTTGGTTTTCATACAAATTGCTGTACTTGCAGCGTCTATCTAGATATAATATGTCTGTGATTTGGTGGCAGTATATCCGTGAATTCTCTCTTTTACAAGACTGCTATTATTATTTACTGCTACTAAACGTGCAGCTAAATTAGAAATATTTAATAGTTTAATTTAATAATAATGAATTCATTCGAACAGATATAGTCCTAAATAAGTTCACATCTCCCGTTCTCTGTTCGAAACAGTTATTGTCAAATAAAGTAATACTCGACCAAGTTAAAGACGCATGATGTTAATGAAGCTAAGTCTGAAGCTTCATTAGCATCATGCGTTTTTCACATTGTGTTTTGATTTGCTAAAATAATACTTATTTGACAGTAATTTCTTCGGACGAATGTCTGACGGAGAACGGAATTAGACCCCCAGGTTCATTAAAACAGCATTTTGTCAAACTTTGTTTAATATTTCTGTAATTTACTTAAGAATGCGTCCCAAATACTTCCGATGCTGGCAAGTGATAATAAGTCTAGTAGTAGTAGAGCTCCTTGTGAAAGAGTTCGCCCAGGGAAGTACTGCCACTTACCTATTTCTGCCACCAAGCAGTAATGTCAGCATTACTGTATTCCGGTTTTGAAAGGTAAGGGTGCTGGAGAAATTACAGGTACATGGAACTTGTCAACTTATGTTTCAGGGTGTCGGGCGCAGTGGCAGTACTCGTCAGATCTTTGCGATTTAAAGCACTCAGTGGCACTGCAACTGTTATAGACAGGCGTGTAGCCTACCACCAGGTGCACGACTTTTTCGTCCCGTCGTTTGATATTATAAAAAAAAATTAAAGTCGGAATAATCGGATTTCAACGGAATTCACGCTATAACAATCTGAATAAAAGTGATCCGGGTTTATCCATGAGACACACATTTAAGATAGTTTTTAAAAGATTATTATTAGGTTTTACGTAATATTGTAGACCTTTGGATTAACCCGTATTACCCGTTTTCTACTGCATTCTCGCGAATGGCTATAATTACTCTAATAATACAGGAGTTGCACCCCGATCATGTTTAGATAGATAATTTTAAACAATATATTGAATCCCACTGATCTTTTCTAAATCCTCGACTTCTACTAGACCAGTTAGCAGAATTCATTCATTTCATTTAATAATAATTCTGTAAATAAGCAAATGAATTTCCGGATAATTATAACGCTCTTAAAGACTTTGTAATTCAAATTGGCAACAAAAACTATTTTCGTGACATTGACATGTTAACGGGCGACTAATTGATACACAGCCGAATATGCTACAAAAAACACGTTTTGAGACTTTGCCAAACTCTCAGTTTGATAGGGTGTCATATAAAAATTCAATAGAAAGATTTACTTATTCCCTCTATTAATATACTAAAAAAGACTTTCATTATGAGAACCAAGTAACCTTATTTCACTACAATAATAAAATGCAGTAATTTGAAAGTAACGTCTTGGAGAAACTAACAAAATAAGTTATATACAAAATAAAAGTAATGTATAATTTTTCCTAATCTAAAGAAACTTCTCACAGTTTGCATGAGTTAGGATGCTGGTGAAATTACAGGCATGGGACTTGCCAACTTATGTCTCCGGGTGACCGGCACAGTTGCAGTGCCTCTCAGATTCTTGTGATTGAAAACTCTGGGTGGCACTGAAACTGTTATGGACAGTTGTGTGGCGTACCACAAGGCGCAGGATTTGTTCCTCCCACACTTGGTATCGTAAAAAATTTGATAAATGACATATGAAACTGGTGCAACACTCGTAATTTTATTTGTATTATACCAGTTTGCCAATAATTGATTACGTTATTTTATTATATACTCTAGGTTATTTGGGAAAACGCTTGCCTCAAGTGCAGAGGGGGTCCAATTTCAATTCCCAGTGCCAGACCACTGAAAGACCTGTGAGTTTTTTTATTATTAAAAAAATGCGCACTTAGCATTTGACTGACGATGGAGTATGTATATCTAAATAAAGCATATACACTCTTGCCTTGAAAAGGTGATAGTTATAACGTTTAGGAAATAAATCCGCAGACAGATAATTCCACTCATTTGCCGTTCGCCTTGTAAATGCGGAAGCGTTGCGTGCGAATTCTTGGCATATCCACAACATAAGGGTTGAACCCTAACCTAAGTCAAGTCCCCCGATAGTGGAAAGGGGAAGGCGGAATTAAATCGTGCAATCCCCTCGCACATTTTCCGTGATATACCTTATATAACGAAACAGTTGTTCTTTCAGGATATGTTGAATAGAAAAGAAAAAACATTTTCCTCTCAAAATTACTTTCGAGGTTATGAAATTTCGATCAAACGTTATTTCTGGAAAATTTCATTTCGAACTACTGATAGGTAACCTATTTTTTGTATCCACTACGACGTCTGGAATACTGATAAGCAGGCAACTTTACGGTGGTTTTCAAGGCTCTGCAGCTTCACCTCTACTGATTCAGAGTCGCCTATTAACCTCTTGGCATGCCTTTCAACTGAATCCAAGGTGGCCATTTGGTTTAAAGCAGAACCATATCATAGATGGATGGGATTGAGGAATTAATGAGCCTGTACGGGCACGTGTCGGATTAATACTGTACACATAATTTGACTTGTTTAACTTTGATTAACAATTTAACCAAACACATATTGACTACCGGCCAGAATTAACAAAAAATATTTTTTCAGCTGTAGCTTCAAAACGACTTAACATTTTGACTTGATTTTTATGTTAAATGATGCTTAAACCATTCACTTATCATAATCTTGGGATTAATTTGATAAAAAACGGTTACAATTTGCAGAAAGTCATATTTAGTCAGAAAAGTCGGTTGTTAGTACTTACCCCGCGTTCGGGGTTAGAATTAACGCTTCTGAGGTAAGTATTAACAGAAGGGGCAAGAATTAACATACTTGGCTTAATCCGTCATTATTAAAACAAAACAATAATTTACAATAATCATATTTTTTATTAAGTTAAATAATTAACATCAGACTTAAAAAGTTCAAACACTTTGCTATACAACAATGTTTCAGCTTTATAAACGAAAAGAAACAAAAAACCTTTTTCATACAAGAATAAAAAATTAACAAATCCTTAAATAACTTCTAATAATTAACAAATTTTACTGCTTGCATAAGATGTCCACACCCACCGGATGTATCTTCATTGTATAGATACCCTAAACAACACAGTAATATTCGTCTTCTGAAGTGTTGCAGCTTTTTCTTTGCCTTTTTTACTCGTAATTTTCTCTATTGTTTCCCTTTTTCTACTCGTAATCTTCTGTGTTATTTCCGTTTTTCTACTCGTAATCTTCCCTTTTGTTTCCTTTTTTCAGTTGTTTTTCCTGTATTCTTTCCCATTCCTTTACCTTGTATGTCTTTCCTGTTTTCTCTATTTTTTTTCTATTTAAACTTCTGTTTTTTCCTTCTTCTTCCAGCGCTTGTTTTTTGGGTGTCGGTAAGATTTGATTGCAAATTTTCTCGTGGGTCTCAATTGAATCGTAACAATTGAATTTGTGGCTGAGATTTTGGCAGAGGTCTTACGATTTCGATTAGAAAGCATTCTATCACTCATAGTCCAGCAACCGCTTCCCTGGGCATTTATTCTCTCACTTTACATTCATTTATACTTAAAATTGGTATACAGTACTTATCTTTTTACATGCCTGAAGGTTCAGTCACTGGTTCACTAGACATTAAATTTGTTCTATCACATAACTACTTCTACTGCGACTCCTGTTTCCCTTTTTTCACAAATTTGAACAGTGTGACGTAGCGGAGTTGAAATTCTGTAGCTACTTCCCTGTAGTTTCTTTTCTTCTCCATTATTTCTAGAGCAGCTGACTCGTAATCCCTCAAGGAAGTCAAGCCTTGAGTAGTTTTTCGTCCTCATGCTGTAACTTGTAACAAAAAAAATTTGGTAGGTATATAAACAAGAAATAAAAATCCAGACACCCTCTTAATACTAGCCCAACATCGGGGTAAGAATTAACTTGTTAATACTTGCCCCGTCGGTTTTTTTTAATTTTAGCCCCACGGGTACATTTTCAATTTAAAAAAATCATAGGTAAAAAATAGTTTACAGTGGGATTAATAAAGCTATGTAGTTTTATTGAGATTAAAACCAGCTTCTAGGAAATAAACATTAACACGGCAAAATCAATTATTCTGCATAAAAATCAAAAAATCGTAAGGTGAAAAAAAATCTTTACTTGCCAAAAATAGACGCACTGCACATAACACGCTCCCATGACATACTGATGGCCACTGGTGCGTCTCAACCTGTGCAACACTGTCGCAGGCACAAATTTGATCAATCGCTAGTGACGTCCACTTTATAGTTTTTTAGAAAATCACTTGTTAATACTTACCCCTGTTAATTAAAGCCCCGGTCTCCCTACTCAATTATCTTAGCACTCGAGGCAATTCAGAACTTGGTAAAAAGCACGAAAGATTTCCTGAGAGTTAAGCCATTGTTCGCAGGAAGTGAGATTTTACAGACTATTTGTAGGTAGGCAACACTAAAATTGTTCGAGAACCCTCATTAACTCACATATGATCCAACTGTGCTTTAGTGCCTTGGAGTTTGCCGACGATTGTCCCTTTCTTGGAGTTCTTTACCCACCCGCCCAGGCCTAGGTCTTCCGCAATCTCTTTGCAGTACTTCGTGAAGTAGCATCCTGAATAGGAGAAATATTACTGTAAGTAGGAGCTATATTTACATGGCAACTATTTTGATAATAATAAACCGATGTATTGCAATAAAATTTAGCTTTCACGCACACACACACCCACACCCACACACACGTACACACAGACACACGTACGCGCACGAATGCACACACATGCAGTTACATGAATCTACACACACAAATACTTATGCTTATTCTTTCTGATCTTTTACCTCATACGTAACTATCACTAAAAATAAATCATATCAATAAAAAAAAATGTATAACCACGATCGGTCACACTCATTTTTAAACACAGGCAACAACAACATAATTATATTTGGTCCCTCGTAACTGAACACTGTCTCCTAAGACACAGACATTTTGTCTAGTTTAGAAGCCAAGTCCTTACGTTTGTTACGCCTTTGCTACCTGTTTGATTTATTTTCATTTCTAATCAGTAAATTTCTTCTCTGTACGGCTATGTGTATAATGCGTGTGTATAAGGTGTGTTTTAGAATAAAGACATATTATTATTATTATTATTATTATTTTCGTATTTATTTTAAACTCTCGCCTCTCCCAAGGCCTAAAAAATTAATTTTGAATTTTTAAATGGGAGAGGCGGTATTTCCCGGCAATGGCACAGTCGGCCGGGGTCAGGGACTCAGGTCCAAGAATCGGCGAACAATACGTGCCGTATCGAGCAGGACCGCCTTCTGCATTTGTGCTGGAAGCGACACGCCACAGAAATCCAACCGCCTCAAGCTGTTAGAAAGGCTGACTGGAATTAACCCATTTGCGGACAAAACAATTGGGATTATTTCAGTGGAGGCCACATCCCACATGTCGGTGATCTCGTGCGCCAGGTCGAGATACTTCCGGCGTTTCTCGGTTTCAGCTTTCACAAGACCCTCGTCATGCGGGATGGTGACGTCCACAAGAAATACCCTCGACTGCGATCGATCCAATATCACAATATCAGGCTTATTCGCAAGAATAGTCCTGTCCGTGATAATAGATCGATCCCAGTAATTGCTTGTATTATTGTTGCAATTGGAGAAATGAAGTATTTCCCTTGCGCTGGCAGATGTCCATGTGCTATCGTTTGCTTCCTACTTTACGTAAAAGAAAGAATACTGGGCAATGAATGAAATCATTAAAAACATATATATGATATAATGATAGTGTTCAATTCTCACAATTTAATCAAGGAGTAAAAATAGAGATGTTTCAGTACACCGTAGAAATAATTAAGAAAAGATTGTTACACATAGTAAATTAAATAAATTAAGTAGTAAATTAAAAGTAAATTAAACTATTATTTCAAATCTAAATCGCTTGTATTTGTTTTTTTTTCTCAAACAAACCAACGTTTCCGGGTCCTTTACGTTTGTTTGTTTGAAAAATACAAATAGGTGTACGCGACTCAGAGCCGAAAAACTTGTTTCATTTCCAACCATTTTCCGGCATTATATCACAAATAGATTTTAGTCTTACTAGAGAAAAACAATAAAAAATAAGTCTTAGTACAATACACTAAATATTAAAAATGAGTATGTTACATTAACAAGTGTTGTACAGCATACTGAATTGATCGCCAAAAATTGATATGCATAAGACATATGTATGAAACGTTGTAGGGAAAACAAGCATGGTCAGAGATCGACAACACGGGTTAGGAAGTTGAATCAACATTTACAGTATTTTGAAAATTAATAGAATTTTACAGTATGCCTTATCTCGATAAGAACGACTGCAGATAGAAAGCAATAATTGAAGGTGTTAAAGGAGGTCTTAGCTCAAAGGTACAATGAAATTAGATACTGACATTATATGAATAATTTGACACTAAGCATGAATCGTGCTTATTATTTATGTTATAATAGTTTTAAACATAAACATTATTGCCGTGACATGAAATAAAGGAAGTAACAGAATGAAAAAAAATCTACTTTTAAGCGTCTATATTACCTCATCTCGAATACAAATTTTTACCATACTAATACCATTCATTTTGCTTGGGTCGAGCAGCAGGGACACTGGATTTGTTTCAGAATTTATTTCTTTACAAACGAAATTAAAACCATTTGAAAAATGTATATGGTATATTATACGTGTTCTATTTAGTTCACTTGACATAAAAAACTCATTGATAAAGTAAGTACCTATTGAATACAGACAGCGGTTTTCTTGTAAAATTTAAGGATAAGTATGTGTTTTTGTCTATCGCGGAAATTTTTAAGAATCGTGTTTTCACGCCGCATACTAATCAATGTATATCCTTAATTTCACTTTTTTCCAAAGTGATTGGTTCAACATTTTCACTGTTATGATGAATAAAGCCATTTGAGGTTGTATAAACAATTAACTCCTAGATGAACTTAAAAAAAATGCTGCATTATCTAAACCTACAAGATATAATTGTGTTTGTTAGTCTAAACTTCTGAAATATGATAATGGTAACTCGTAAAATTGAGCAGTCGCAGAATTACAGTCATTTAAAGATTTAGGGCAAACCTTAACACACAAACTATATGGCTCGCCTAAACCCACAGACATGTATCTCCTAAACCCAATATAAACAAAAAGATTGAAACAAAAGACCGAGGTTTACAGTTGCTTAATTAATGTCGGAGATAAAACAAGGAAAGTTTTTAATGTATTAATATGAAAAAGAGGAATAACAAATTTATTTCTTGCCTTAATGAAAACACAAATTCTGTTTGGCCGCGGGCGCTAAGGCTTTATTAGTCTAATATTTTCAATAGAAATCAAACAGCATAAATTCGCTTTCATATGCGAAAAAATACGGAATTAATCTTATAATATAATAATAGTATAATTATTTATACGTAATAAGTAAATAGCCATTCGGTTACAAACGAGAATATATACATTTATTAGTTCCATTCAGTAATTTTTTGAACTTTCAAATCGTGTTTTAATAATTCCATAATTCTTGAGTTACGACAGTATTCGGTTTCATGTGCGAATTATTGACTGAATCGCAGTCTAAAGAAATCTGACTTGTGGGTGTGTTTGATGTTGCGGCATTTTTTCCTAGTACATTGCTTTTAATCTTTATTGCACAGAAACAAAAACATTAAAGTCTCTACCAAATGACGTACATTTTTTATGGCCTCCGCAACTACTTAGATACGGCTCGTTGTGATGATTACCTAATACGACTCCTTTCTCAAATTTATATTATGCCCTATAGCTCAGCTTTGTACAGTCAACAGCACATCAAGCTATAATACACTTTTGTTCGAATATCGCCTCCAGAGCAACGGAACAAGATCCGTCAAGGTGTAGCTTAATATGTTGTTGTCTGTACTTTGAGTGAACATTATGAAATTACACATATATCAAAACGCACCTTGGACTTGCCCGTACACTTCGAATTCAACAGATGCTAAAGCATTTGGATTTGGACTGCAACTAGAACTACGATCCTCTGCCATATTTCACTCTCACAGTCACTCACGCCTTATAAATATTGACAAAGTAAACAAAATTAAAACGTCTTATTTTTATTTTAGAGAGAGCAATCCGCCCAAACTTCTGGGTCACTGTTGGTTACTGGCAGTGTGTGCCGCCCGCCCAAGTGCCAATGCTACGTCGATCGCCCTACTTTATTTATATTTGTGTACTACACCATCAACATCGTGAAGCGTATTAGAGTGTCTAATTAATCAATCTAAACACCAACAATTGTGCATTGATGTTTTGCATGTAATACATTGCTCCGAATGCTTTTTCTATGCATTCGTTCATACAGTAAACGTAATGAAAACGGAAAATATTTCTTGTTAACTAACAATTCCGTTGCATGCAAAAGATTATCTTGTATCAGGCATTATTATAATTACGACATCTGAAGGCTAATTTTTGAACCGCTCATACTGTAACGAGTGCCATAAAGTTAATAGGAAAATGCGTGAAAGTATTCAAAGATACCGCAAAAATCTTTATTTTCTGCGATCTCTTTTGAAAGCCATTAGATTTCCATTTAATTTTCGACACAATTCCCAGCAACGTTGGTTTTCTCACAATATTTTCGTCACCGTTTAATTAAATAAAGTAGTCAGTAATGCATATAACGCACGAACGCTGCCCTTGCGTTTACCGCTTTGATTTTTAAAACCGTACACTATTCGATAGATAAGACTTGAAGTGAAGCGGCCACGCTCCATGACCTCGGATGACCAGCGAATGGCAATTGACAGCTGTGAGGATATTGTTTCGGTTTCTTCCGGTCTTCTTCCTTCTTCTAAATATTTGATAATTGAAAATTCAAATGATTCGTTAAAATTACGTAAAACATATTAGATGTGCCGAAATAACAGTAACGCAGAGTTTTGTGTGAATAATTTATAACGTCGACCGACAAAAAATAAAGCATTAGGACCGGACGGCAGACCAGGGTCTGGAGTGGACAGTTCCGAGAGCAATCACAATTATGTTATTGGGCACTGATTGAACTACCGGTAGTTGCTTCCTAATTAACCACCGACTCGGTGAAGGTTTTTGTTATGAAACTAGGGATTCTGTAAGGTTGTTTTGAATTTGATTTTGATTGGCCTACGTGAACTGATGTAGGTTTTTCATAAATAATACACTTGATATTCCACCCATAGTGCCACAGAACGATAAACACAGTAGAAGTGCTTTGCGTGACACGTGTGCCAAATGTTCGCTGTTCCGCAAACTTGAGCTAAGTCCGCCTTTTTTGCTTCACCAAATAAGCAAACTTAGCCTTATCAACTGAAATAAATATTGTCACGGGGATATTTATCACACATATACTGCTATGCTACATCCAATGGTCTGCTTTTTCATACACTAACCTTTTTTTATAAAATATCAAGTGACTAACTTTTTTTTCGTGTGGACAACCTCCTAGCTTATGCCGGCTAAAACGCCACGGTGACCTTCTCGGGTGCTCTAGTGGGAACGATCCGGGATAAACTTTGCGCACCGGAACCTCCCAAGCACCTAGGACGAGCTACGTCCTCCCCCTCCCCTCTTCACGACGAAGCGGGTCACGCCCATGGCATACCGCCCCGTCGTCCTCCAACTGCTGACAAACTTACTTAACTGCCTCCGTGGCTAAACGGTTACCATGCCGGACTGCCACGCAGAGGTCCCAAGTTCAATTCCCGGGCCGGAAGAAATAGTTGTATGGCCTACATTTATTTCGCTCGTGAGTTTGGGTGTAATTTGTGGTTGTCTATGTGTGTGTTCGTGGCACCCACGACACAGGGTTTCCCTAGTACGGAGCTATGTTGTGTGTGTGTATGTGCGTTATTATACACATTGTTCATTTATTCATACTAAACAACTTACAGTAACAAAAACTAAACATGTAAGCCAAAGTCAATATAGGGTTGAGTCTTGAGTCTATCGTATTCATTAGTGGATCAGTCAATTGTAAACATTGGTGGATCATAATTTATTACTAAATAATCAAACACTGCGATAAGAGTTTAAGAGGCTCACGCACGTACGCGTGAGGCGTACCTCTTTGTATTGAATTGTTAACACTCCACATACAAAGAAAATTAGTACCACAGCAGCTTTAAAAGTGTTTAGACTAGTTGTTTGCACTATACAGATGGCATGTGCGTTACCGAGACGGCTCACTCTTTTTTCCTATTGCACTGAAAAGACAAAGGGATAAGACGAATCGGTGCAAATAATGTTTCATCAACTATACTTACGTCACGGGAAAATCTATGACATTTTAAATATGTGTTGTATTTCGTTGTCCAACCGTATACAGAACAGTTCTGCACTATCACATATGCATACAACGATTTTCGTAGAACACACACAACGTATTCAAATATAATTTAAATTATGTCAATTCGTCTGCACAAATACGTTCGCTGCGCAAAAACTGTGATCCTAATTCAAGTGCCTGTTAGTATTTACACCGCAATGTGGCGTAGAGATCGTTCTTAGTATTTTTTGACCGACATTAAAATGGAGGAGGCCTCTGTCTTCGTCTCAGTCAAATTGTCTGTATTATTCTGTGTGCAGTTCGCGATAATGTTAAATATTACTCCGATATTTGTCAACAAATTTAGATAATTGTTTTTTTTGTTGGAAAGGGGTTACATCACAAAATAATAGAACTAAGAATGTACGACTCACGAATTTGACGAAAATATTCCATCTCAAGAGTCGCAAATTTGGTTTTTAATTCACCGAATTAAATATTCAAATATTTTCAAAACACTTTCCGTTAAACGATTTCAATAGAACTTGGTACATACTTAGATGTAAATAAACTCCAATCCATTGATAATAAAATGTAGACAGCTGTAGCGTTTAATAACAGGCGCACGACTTGACCTTTCCGTGTCAGGGCATTCTGGGTAGTTTAAAAATCAGGCCAAAGGAGCTCTGTATGCCTTAGTAAGCAATGGTAGCCACAAAGTGACCATTTATTTTACTTCATTATTTATCTATTTTGTCTTGAATGGCACAAACACTTTAAGTCAAAGTCAAAGTCAAAGATTTAGATTTATTTATTAGATCCATAGGTAAAATAAATTTACACTTGAAAACGTCACATTTAAGCTTCTGCTCGTTCACTACGCTGACCTCCCTGAGAAGAACGAGCAAGAAACTCTAGGGATTGCTCTTTTCAAATAAACATAAATGCTATGGAATACACTTTGAATCAAATTTGTGTGGATTCTGGAGCCATGTCGTCTTTCCATACATCTTTATCTAACACGTAGTCTTCAATTTTGTAATATGATTTTTCGATCAAAATATTTTTAATGTAGTTTTTAAATTTATTAAACTTAGGAAATGATAAACTTAATATATGCTCCGGAATCTTATTGTAAAAACGTATACAGTTCCCCATAAAAGAGTTGTTTACCTTGGTTAAACGAAATCGTGGTACCATGAGTTTGGACTTAGCTCTAAGGTTAATATTATGGATATCTTCTTTCTTATTGAAATTATGTATATTTTTACGGGCATATAAAATATTTGAGTAAATGTACTGTGATGCCACAGTCATGATACCAGTCTCCTTAAACTTTTCTCTGAGAGATACCCGAGAGCCTAGACGGTACACAGAACGAAACGCTCGTTTTTGCAATACAAATATGGTTTGAATATCTGCCGCTTGAGACCCCACATGAGAATCCCGTAGGACATTATACTATGGAAGTAACTAAAGTAAACTAGTCTAGCAGTACTAACATCGGTAAGCTCACGTATTCTGCGGACTGCGTGTGCAGCGGAGCTTAATCTGCTGGCCAGGGACGATATATGTGGAAACCACTGAAGTTTACTATCTAAGGTCACTCCCAAGAAGACTGCTTTATTAACAAGGTCTAACTTTTCTCCGTTTATTTCTATGCTTGGACTAGTCGATTTTACGTTAGGTAATTCAAATTTAACACATTTTGTCTTCTTGGCATTAAGCAATAAATTGTTAGCATTAAACCAATAAACTACCTTAGAGAGGGTATCATTAATACGGTCATAGTTAATGTCGTGTAGTAAATATCGTGTTATATAAAGTATTTGGATCCTCCGGTATATGGGATAGAGAATTTAAACTATTGCCGATATTATTTTGAAATCTAATTATTCGTTCTGTGGTAATCGGTCTGCTAAGAAATTGTCTACCTTCTTGCTCATTTTACAATTAAAAGAAGCCAATTGGCCACTATGGTCGGATCTTAAGCAATTTATTATTGATTTAGACACTGCGTCTGTGTTACAAAAGATGTTATCAATACAAGTAGAAGAGGAGGCATTAATACGAGTTGGTTCTAAAAAAAGATTAATCAAGTTAAAACTTTGAAACAAATTAATGAGTCTTACAGAAGTAGAACAGTTTTCCAACAGGTTTACATTGAAATCTCCACATATTACTACGTTTTTTTTGGTTGGAAAAATCCGCTTTAAACTGTCTTCCATAATTAATTCAAACTCGTTAAAATTAGCAGAGGGGGGCCTGTATACACATAAGACGACAAACTGATCCAATTCCACACATGAAATCTCAATAGTTCGTTCAGTAGAAAGATTTGTGATATCCTTACGCTCTTTAAATTTTATGTTACGCTTAATAATAATCATGGATCGCCTCTATAATAATAATCATGGATCCGCCTCCACTTAAGCTCTTTCTTATGAACGAACTGACTATTACATAATTATCTATATTGTTAATGGCTTCGTAATCTTTCAGCCAGTGTTCTGTAACACAAAACACGTCAACGGAAATATCGTGCAAAAAAA